TGCCCAACGACTCTGACTTTTCTGATATTTCTAAAGCCCAAAGGAAGCAACAGTACATATACACTCCACAAGAATGGATAGATTTAATTCGTAATTGTAGGAAGAGAAAACCATTTATTGTGACGGATATGGTTGGGAAATTCATTGACTTTAAAGGGTTAGAAAACATAATGAACAAAACAGGTCGAAGTGTTAACGGGAATCGTATCCTAATTTCTAAAATGAGAAAAATAAAATTTTGCAAAGGAGATAGTAGAATCTATTTCAATGACGACTACTCGGAAAATTACGATGTTTTAGACTTAGACAAACAAGGGAATAGAAATCAGTTTCTAAATACTCTAAATTCTTTTACCCCAAAAGAAACAACATGTAGTAAGCCGCTTACCCACAAAAAAATGCAGGACTTAAAGAAAATGCTACACTATGTGCCACCCTGTCACCATAAGTTTTATTTAACTTTACCACACCTTAGTAGGAGAAACAGTGCAGCTGAAAATGAAGAGGACGATGTGCTCCCAAATGTAGAGGGTGAATAATTTGTCATTGCCAATTATTAATAAACTTATTTTTATTAAAAGCTCTTTTATTTCATTTCTGTAATACCGTCTATAATTTTTTAATAAATGCAGAAGTGATCCAAGTTTATAAAAGTGTTATTTTACTTGTTCAATATTGGATATATCAAAAAGCTCTTCTAGTAAAGACTAAGTTGAGTTAGTACCTATCATAATTTAACATATTGTATCAAAAATATATTGCCTCAGTTTTAATAATTGTAAAAACACGTTTTGCTTATTATCTCAATAATAACAAAATGTTACTTGGATCACTTCAATCCTTAACTGGCCAGTTACTCCCAGATCTCTGATAGAAGTCAACTTAAGCAGAGAGATTCCACCTATATAGTAGGATGAATAGATCTACGCGTAAATGTGACAGCACTACATTTCTCCACATTAATCCTGAACTGATTACGATCGCACCATTCCACCAAGATATCAAGATCCGACTGCATCAAAACCACGTCTTCATCCGAGGTCATAGGACGAAATATCTTAAGATCATCAGCATAGGCCAATACACCAGATTTAAATCTGTTTAATAAGTCGTTAATAAATATTACATACAGTAGTGGACTCAAGTTAGAGCCCTGTGGGACACCAGATCGTGCAATAAAGTCCACCGAAGCAATGACATTATAATATACATAATTGAAACAAGACACATGAGCCCGGGGGAAAAGTCAAACATACTGAGCTTCTGGAGGAGAAAATCGTGATGGATCGCATCAAACGCCTTGAAAAAGTCAGTGTACACTACATCCACTTGACCACCCCCATCCAGGGATTCACATATTACTTCTGTAATCACCGAAAGATTAATAACGGTTGAACGGCGCTTAATAAACCCATGCTGTTGCGGTGATACAAACGATTGAACTTGCGGATAAATACCTCCATAGATTATTTACTCAAATACTTTAGCGAAGTTAGATATTATGGAGATGGGACGATAATCAGCAATGTTGTTACGATCACCACGCTTGATAACGGAAATTATCCGCGATCGCTTACAGATGTTAGGAAACTCACCTGTCTTTAGACACATGTTTATGATCACGCAAAGTGGGGCAGCAAAAGTTGCGGAACGCTGGAAGGTTAGCATCACCAGCCGTAAATTTGTTCGGCAAATTCTTAAGAAGATCAAGAACCTATTCCACAGTGGTACTCTTTAAAATGATAGATGGATACATAGAGTGCGAATCAACCAACTCGTAGATAGGGTCACCACCAAAAACTATCGAAAAGAAATCGGCAAAATCATTAACTATATTAAGGGGAGTATCGTAGATGCACCCGTCCAAAACCATTTCCTAACATAATTCCAGAAGCTACGAGGATCCGAGCGTAGTGACTGCTCAGCATTTCTTGTAAAGGCTATATACGAATCAGAGATCTTTTGCTTTGTCAAGTATCTCAATCTTCAAAACTCTGCATGATAAAAATCACATTTAGTTCTCTTCCACTTTCTTCTACATAATTCTTTTAACTTTAAAAGATTTTTAATTTCAGGAGTGTACCAAATAGGGTATTTAGAAGTATGATACGCTCTGTTTGGATCTGTTTGATCCAATAGTTCATGGATCTTCATGTAAAATAACCGCGCAGCATTATCTACATCTACGCACTTATCAAGAAAGGAATAATTTCTTGCCAGGAAATCACCATATAAGTCATGAAAATTGGCTCTGCGAAAATCATATCGACTGCCACATGCTGGAAAATTTGATTGATTGTTATGTTGTGCGAGTAAGTTTATGGTAATATTTAAGGCGGGATGATGTCATCCCGAACGAGTTCGAACTGAGTTCAGTTAAACAGTTCTAACTAAATCCAACAATCTTCCATCACAGTTCAGCACATGATTCAGTTGAGACAGGTTTAGAAAATAACATACACTACGAAATGCGTGTGTTCTTACATCACTGACAGTAGCACCAGGACCCTTAACATAATCAGGTAAAATAAAGTCTCCTATAATAAGTATAGGAAAGTTCAGTAGTCTATGCTCCAAAGCATCCAAGAAAGAAAGCAAATCAGGCTTTGGGGTATCAGGAGGGATATACAAAGCTACGACATAAATGGTGACCGAAAAGAATGTGGCCTTACAAATCAACACATCAACGAGTGGGACCAAGGACCGGATGTTCGAGACGTCGATAATTTCCACTGCAAAGCGACTACATAAAGCAATAAGAACACCTCCCCCTTTATAGCGTCCAACCAAATCAGAACTTCAATCAGTCCTCAAGACACGTTAACCATCTAAAAACAATTCACTAGAAGCAACCGTAGAGTTTAAACCAGTTTCAGACATAACAACCACATCATATTGACAATCAGAACAATAAACATAGATGTTATACAATTTTGTACGAAGACCGTTAATGTTTTGAAAATACACAGTGATACTATAGGACACTTTGCTGGGCAAGATTAGTTTTCCGAAGCAGTGACAATCGACGGAATACCACGGACGTATTTCAGGGCCAGACCTCTTTCCCCTGCATCAGTTCTCGATTTCAGCTCCGTTTGAACCTTCCTATAGAGACTCTGTTCGAAAGGCGTACGATCACTAGATATAGAGATGCTTCTGAATGTATCATGAGATTTCAAGTTACGCATATTACGAAACGCAATTTTAATGGAATCTCGGTTGGATAACTTTTACACGAATAGGTTGCGTCTAGAATTATTAGAAGGATCAAACTTTCCGCGGTTGATCTCCAAAGGCGCCAGGGAAAGTGACATCAACCTCAACCTGCCCCCAGCCATCAGACAAATCATTAGATTCCGGCACGCGCTAAAGCACAATCATATTTCGTCCTTTCTGCGATCACGCTCCAAAATCTCCTGGATAGCCTTCCCCGTATCAAAATCTGAGACGGAGTGAGTCGGAATAGTATTGAAATTCAACTTAAGGGCGGTAATATCCCGCTAGAGAGTAGTATTACCGCCTTTACAACAAGTACATTTATCCATTTAGGCGTTAAAGAAAATGATCTTATTCCAATGTTGACGAAACCAGAGATGTTATATCCGTTACGCCAATCTCACCTGTATGGACGCTGCGCACATGTCGGAAAATACCGGTGATGCACGGCGCTAAAGGCCCGTATAGACACGTTTAGTAATTTAGTCGAGTAGCGAGTAGCCACTTACCACTGGAACGTTTAGTAGATGGCAACTGTCCACATTTATTACGCTGAAGACACTTTAGTGGTACTCAACATGAACAGACGACGTCATCGCGCGCAATACAATTGCTAATTCACTAAACTAAATTTATGCGTTCGCACGTGTTTAGTGGCAGTTGTGAGTAGTGGGGGTATGCTACTCGACCGAAAAAATAGATTCGGCCGAAGTTACAGTTTGGTGTGCGATGTCTTCGAATAGCATAATTGGCACATACTTCTTTGAGAATGATGATGCCCATGTAGTTATCGTAATATAAGCGCTATATGTTCGAATGCTGGAAACCTTTTTCATCCCACAAGTGCTTATAAACGACAATGAAACAATTTGTCAAACAGCTAGGGTTACAGTGAACTTTCTTAAAGAATCTTTTCGGGACCGTCTCATCAATAAAAGAGAGAATATTGATTGGCCTCTACGATCGTCAGACCTGAGTTCGTGAAACTATTGTGAAACTGGTTGGAAATTGAAGAATTTGAAATGCAGCTGATTGATTTCCAGTCTAGTTTAATATGGATTCAAAAATTTATTGAAATAAATTGAAACAGAAAGATTGACAAGTAATATAAGTGAAAATGCTAATAACAAAATTCTGGAAACATGGAATGCGTCACCAGACACATTTAATTGTTTGAAGAAGCTGGCTCATGCTGGCTATGCGAGTTATTATTTTCCGAGATAAATAACATTAAAGACTCGGTTAGAAATCGTTTGACAGATGACTCCAGTTCAGCATGCATTCTGCTAAAAATAACATTTTATAACCCTAACATATGTTATTTGTCATCTAATCTGCAACAACAGAAGTCACACTAATTTTACATTAATTTAAATTACGCGTATAATTGAAACATTGCAAAATGTTCCTATTTTTTTGTAGTAAATAAAGAGTTTTGAGTTGATAGTATTTATTACTATTATAGTTAACATTAACATATTAAACATTTTTTTTAGAAAAATGGCACGTTGATATGTAAAGGTTCGCCATCCCTGCCCTACCCAATCTTTAACATCATATGAAAAATGCTCACTATGACAACCTATGCAAAATTATTCTTATCATCAGATCTAACACATACTTTAACATATTTCAAGAGTCTCAATAAATAACTAATAACTATAACAAGTAAAATGCTTATAATTGGTCTTTGCATATATGTATTGCAACCAATCCTTATAACCATAATAAAATAATAATAATAACCATAAAAACAAACGTTCTATAAAAACAGCAAACTCTCATTATAAGATTTATTTTTAAAATAAATCAATTTTACTACAAATTACCATATTAAATAAAAAAAAATTAATTAAATAGTAAACCAACCAGGCATGTTTACCCTTTTACTATTTCTATTCAAAAACTTTTTATAATTCTTCTTGGTATCTTCTAAAGATTTCTCTGCATCACTTTTTTTCTTCTTTTCCTCCTCCTCCGGAAAAATATTAGGAAATTCAAAAACAGTACCTTTCGGCTACAACAACAAATTTAATTAGCTCAAATTATAAAATGAAAAAATCTATTTTACCATGGTAATATAAGCTAATTTAACATCATCCTCTTTAATAATATTCCCTCTTCCTTGTTGCTTTTTCGTTTGTCCCAACATAATCCTCGTTCGAACATCACTCACTTTAACATCGTAAATCTTCTCCAAATAATTTTTAATATCATGTCTGGTCATTTCCATAGAACACGAAAATTGGACTACATTTGGTGGTTGATCGTGGACCGGTTTAATTAGTTTTAACCAGAAATTAGGAAGAAAAACTCGTAGCTGTGGACCACCTTTTTGATAAATTGGATACCTTAATATTAAATAGAATGAGACAAAATTAAGAGTTATTAATTTATGTCTACACTTACCATCGTGTTGACATTTTAAAATAACTTAAATATATGGGAAAATAAACTAAGAATGCGAGTTTTGATTTGACGAAATTTTAAGGTTAGGTTAACATAACCTATAAACTTGACTTGTCATTTTTAATATTTTAATTAAAATCATTTTTATTTGAATATTTATTATTATAAAATATTAATTATATATTTCTTTCAATATTTGAGTAAGTTTTTTATTAATTTCTCCTGCATTTCTTTTTAATGAAAAGGGCTGAAGTTTCTTGTTTTTTCTATCTTCAATATCTAGGTAAAAGTCAAAGAAATACACTTAAATCTTTATTACATTTTGGCAAATTTTGGGAAAGGATACACCCAGAGATATGACTTCGAGAAGAAACAAAATTAATTCCAGTTAGGGTTATAAAACTTTCTTCCAACAACTTAATTTCTTTCATTTCATTCATCGCTTGATTATGAGACGTTTCTAAAACTTTTAGTGAAGATTTTAATTTCTCTTTGGCTTGAGTTCTCTTCTTTAAGAGATCTTTTAGTTCTTCCTAAAATGAAATAATGAAATTGTGTTTATTGGTTATAAAAGTGTATCTTTACAATTTCCTCTTTCAATTTATTGATTTCTTCAACTTCATGTTCGCAAATCGTTTCTAAATCATTAGTTAGTTTGTTATGTTCAGCAATTACACCTTAAAAAGGAGAGAATAGATTAATTTAAGATCATTTTGATTTTTTTATTTAGATATTTACCGTTTATTTCACTGTTTTCCTTTATATTTACCGTTGATTTTATTTCGGTTAAGCACGTATCAATAATTGTGTTCGCTGCTATTTCAAATTGTTTTAATCCTTCCTTAAAATCTGAATTCATAATTTTTAGTTAATTTTTTTTTCAACTGCTGACGGTTATGATGAAGTTTTAAATGTGTTACCAACATATTTTTTATTTAGCATTTGTATTACCCTAGAATATATGTGCTGATAACAAAACTATTTTTATTACAATAAAAGATTTTCTTTATAAATTTCTTAAACTAATTTGTTTATAATCCTTCCAGTACAGGTTTACATAGTTACACGCGGCGAATTGTAAGGACTGTAAGTCCGCAATTGCCAGTAGAAACGATCGACTGGCAAAAGATGGCGCTAGTTAAAAGTTATTAAATTTAAAATTAATTATTCGAATTTTATTATTTCAATTTTTTGTATTAAATTCATATAACATAACCTAAGGTCTCAATAAAAATATTCAAGTTCAATAAAAGTATACAACAACCTATACTCTGTTTTTAAACCAGGAGGAGTACCGTATTTTCTCGAATGTAATCCGCACCTCTTTTACAAATTTTATGTGCTCTAAAATCGAATGCGGATTACAATCGGGTGCGGATTAGATTCGCAGTCGTATAGTTGCAAATTGGAAAATAGTAAAATAAAATCACATTATAACAATAACACTTTATTAAGGGTTTTACAACGATATTTACATTTTTATGTATCATGTTCTTCCTGGTTCTTCCCATATTACGTCATCTTCGGATCAATACAGATCAATTCGGATTATACAAAACTTCTTAAATGATGTTGTAATATTGTTTTCAGGGATCGTTTTCCATGTCGCCTACACTCACTGAACAAGTTCAGAAGCTCCTTTAATTGCTCCCGGTTTTGTTAATTCTCGAGTTTGTTAATATACATATACATACACAGGTTGTAGTATGGATGTTATTCCACCAGGTATTATTATTATGACAAGAAGTCTAAACCAAGGGCAATCAGTCTATGATTAATTAATATCCTTATTTAATAATCCTCCTGGTCTAAGACTCCATACTTGTCTTAATCATTCCATCATCACCTTTTCCATTATCCATCCTTTTTGTTATGCCCT